TTGTCACTTATAAGGACCTTATCGGTAAGAGTACTTCCAAAATTAGTATCACCGGTTTTCGGTTGACCGAATGTCACTAGTCTTATCTCGTGGTCATTTGCTAAACCAGACCAAGCAAGGTAAGAAGCTGCTATTGACGCCATTGAGCCGCCAAGCGAATGCCCAGTGACCTGCAAAAAGTGCCTTCGTGCACTTCAGCAGCATTAGCGGGACATAACACAAATTTACCCATATCTTGCATTTAGGACAATTCTGCAAGAGTTCTTGCACATGTTTCTCCATTCCCTCTTTCCAGATTGCGTGAAAAGCATCGTGGAAATATCTTCCTACTTGTCCCAAATATTGATTATTGACGCTCCATCTAATCTGAATTCAACGAAGCGTTGGCGAATCAAAATAAAAATGTTTTTTCTTAGAAACAAACCCTCTTAGTAGATAGTGTTTTGCCGAATATATCCACGAGCTGCAATTTACCTTTAGTGCCTCTGTAATAAAATTTATTATGCTTAAACTGTTCCGCAAATTGTGTTGGCTTATATGTAAGCAATTTTCTGATACTATCACCTAAAGCTTAAGGCGATCGCATTCTCGGAAGAAATGTTGGCAACAAAGCCAGAGCATTTGCTCCACCAGCCACAATTGACTGTGATATGTTTTACCTAAATGAGGGGAACACGCACTCCATCTTGTGGGTTAAGACTCAAGAATTTTCAAAAAGACACCATCTCTCCTCCTGGAAATACTCTTTCAACACAACGCTGCGGATCGTCTGCGTACGCTGCAGCACTTAGCGGAAACGTTATATTTCGAGCGAACTTGTCATCATAATTCTGCTGCGCAAGCGCTACAACGATACCGGACAACAGTACAGGTATAACCATCCTAAAAAATGGGAAAAAAGACTATTCTTATTCTTATTTTCAAACCAAAAAAATAATTGACCATGTCCTGCAAGTGTATACTCGGGAAAAAACTTTGCAACTGCACTTTGGTCTAGAAGTTTCTTTTCTTTTTATAACAACAATCAAATAATAGCAATTACAAGCTTGGTTTTGCAAAGTTAATAACATAAAACGTAAATGTTTGTCAGGGTTTCTTTGTCAACCTAACCAGCTCATGCAGAGCCAGTGTAAGCGCTACTAAACCTCCATTTCTAGTTTTTTTTGTGTCTCAATGAGCCAATTTGATGGGTTCACTTGCTCAGATTTTCACTTCTTAGAGGAGCACCTCTTTTCGTTATTGGATGTAA